CAAGACGAGTGGTCACTAATGTAAACGGATATGCTTTTTCTAACAATTAGATATTCTGTAGTCGTGGGAATGGTCTTTACTGAGAAATATTAGCGGTTGTGCACTATATACATAGGAAGAGCACATGAACTTTTCGATGTCAGACTTTCTTTTCTCTTTTAACTGAATTATACATGTTGATAGATTGCTTTCTTCTGTTACCTTCTTTCGCTCTTTCTCCTTTTCTTTTACGGTTAATAAATTGGCTACTAGACAATATGTAAAAAAAGTACATTGGGTAAGGGTTAGATATTTTTCATATCATTTCCGTTATCTTGAAATTAAAATTAGCCAAAGAAAATGTTTATCAATAAAGAAGGAAGTCGGTTTCATTTGTAACTATTTTACTCCCTCACCAATTATTAGTTTTATTACACTAAATATTTATCATAATTGTTCACAGGATAACTGAGGTTCATAGGGACGTTAATGCTGCGACTGCATCTTCAAACAGTAGCATTAACATTGTATAGATAAATGAATGAGTAATACTACAGAATTATATAAAATTGATATCGATTATAATAAAAAAATACGAATTCATTTACTTCCTTGTAAAAATTAATCATTACAGTTTCTTAAATCTGCGAGTTTACCACCCATTTTCGCCACATGGCAATAACCATTACAGATTTTCTATATTGCTTTAATTCATAACACTGCAAAGGGGAAGTGAGGTTCCACTTCTTCCATGACCTTATGATTTTATGATCGTTGTTTGAGAAGATTCCATTTTGAAAAACAATTGTTAGCTAACTACTCGTTGGTCGCGTTCCCGGGTCTCTATTAAGGCTGAACATGCATAAAACCAATAAGGTATTCGAACTAGATAAAATTCAAGGCAGTGGTTCGAATCTCAGCGGTATTACAGTTAACATTTATACTGTTTAGTATTATTGCTATAGATGATTTATTCCTTACTAATCTTACATCTGCAATGGTGGAAAATAAACGATATTATGTTGAAGAGTAAATGAAAAGAGGTGTCCGAACTAGGGTGGAAAGTCTAATGCCACTTTATACCTGACTGATACTAGACAAAATGTGTTTTACCTTCATTTTAGAATGTGCAAAGAGGCAAAATACTGAGTTAGAAAGTGTCTTTGTTAATTATAATAATTGTGTTCCCTCTACATGTGATAAAGAAATTCTGTAATAGAAAATCTAGTGACCTTGTAAGACGAGTGGTGACTAATGTAAATGGATGTTTTTTTTTATAATATTGCAGCCATTTTGTTCCAGAGACATCGCTTTTTTTTCATTAGTAGTGGGAATGGTCTTTATTCAGAATTTTGAGCGGGAGTCCATTATATGTTATTTGAATTCTATTCACTTTTGTCACAGGGAATTAGTGTTTGAAGATGCCGTCGTAGCATTAACGTCCTTGTTAACCTCATTTATCTTATGAACAAATATAAAACATTTACAGTGTGATAAAAAGAAACATTTGGAGAGGGAGTGAAAAAGTTCGAAATGAAAACGACCTTCTTATTTATTAATAGCTATTTTCTTTGGCTAGTTTTCATTTCAAGATAACTAAAGAAAATAGTATAAAGAACCCATACTCAAAGTACTTTATTTTTCCATATTGTCAAAATTTACAATTCAGTAAAAAAAAAAGAAAATTAAAGATTGCGTTAAGAGTGAATTCAATCTTCATATGAAAGCGGTTTTAGTTTTATCCGTATACCTACTTAAGTAAATTGTGTGCATGAGTTTCCGTTTAGTTTTAACATTTAATGAAAAAAATCAGCGTTTTTTTCGCATTTGTGTTTAATGAATCGTAAAACAAGCAATGAACAGAGAGCATTTTGAATGACCCTTCTTTAAGTAACCGTAAAGGTCTCAGTATTCATTTTCTAAAAACATTTTATCTATTATTTTCATCATTAGTAACATGTTTACCATCAATATTATTATTATAATAATTTTCATTATCATTATTACAATCAATTTCATTATTTCACTCATTTGCTTATTTTGAATCTATCATTTCATAATCATTATTAAAAAAAAAAAAATCTTTTACCCTGTCTCGCCCTCTATTATCAGTTCGGTGACGCCAACTAAGGTAACGGTGTTAAGTTAACCGCTAAATATTGCAAAATGGAGTGGAATCTTCAAAGGCTAAGAAAATGCAAACACGTTTGTAATAATTTTATGATAACCAAAACAGTGAACTTCATTATAAGGCACAAAAATCCCTGAAATGCCATTATTAAGCATCTTCATTTAAACTTTATCTATTGAAACACACTTTCTCTCTACTCACACTATAAATGTGTATTCATTTGTAAATGCATATATATATATATATATATGTATGTATGTGTGTATACATATATATATATATATCCATGCCCCCTGCATTGCCCCGGAGACCATTTGGTCTCGGGAGGTGGCCCATTATTATGTTAAAAAAAAACATGCATTGTTATTGTCGTTGTTATTATCATTACCA